TTTTTTTTTGCATAGTTATTCGGTAATAAATTTAGGAGATACATCAAAAATTAAATGAAAATACAGCATGAAGTTTTTTTTGCACATAAAGTATTTCTTATATGATAAGTGATGCTAAGGAAAATTAATCAGCCAGACAGGATAAAAGAAGATGCCGAAGTAAAATTAATCAGCTAAATAGACCCTGATATTTCGGTTCGAAATTTGTAAAAACTAGGAAGCTGCATTTCGAAGGCATATCCTTTAGCCATTTTTCGTGTATGCATGGTCAAACTGATTATGTGACGCATACTGTTGTTTATTTAACAGGATCATAGGTAAGTTCCGGGATACTAAACTAAATTCGCAGGTTTTTAAGACAAGCTATTGAACCTATGTTCTGATAACTTCATTGAGTTCATTACTTCCACAAACTCTACATGTACTGCGTTTGTACGTACCAATATTGCCTCAACGCTGCTACTGTATCCCGAGAATCCAGAACCACTCCCGTCTCTAACCGTAGACAGACTGGAGCAGAGAAAAGTCTGTCTAGCAGCCTAAGTTCGCTTTCTTACAAGGATTCTGCATGAAATGGTATCTAAGTGCAGACTAATGACAATAACACCATAAAATGTATGATTTTCATCACTTTTCAGGGGCTTTCAAGGAGAACGTGGAAATGCTGGAGAAACTGGTTCTCGGGGACAACCAGGACCACCAGGCTTGCCAGGAGAAGATGGGCCGCTAGGTGCACCCGGCTCACCCGGACCTCCTGGCCCCAAAGGTAGCAGAGGACTCGCTGGCCAGCCCGGAGATATGGCTATATCTGGCATCGGGATTCAAGGACCGAAAGGACCCCCGGGACCAGCTGGACCTAAAGGGCCCACGGGACCGCGTGGTAAACCGGCAAAAGAAGGCGGTTTTGCAGGAAAGCCAGGTACAATTGGTCCCATTGGACCACCTGGACAAACCGGCAGACAAGGTGAAGAAGGTCCCTGGGGACCACCGGGTGAACCAGGTTTGCATTACCCAGAAGTTGTAAATTTGGAAAATTCCGAAAAGTTATTTGCTCAAAACAACGGCTTCAGCAAATATACATAAAAACACAATCACACAAACACAGAGACAAAAACTCACAAACACACAGGAACATAAAAACGCAAACACACATGACAAAGCTTGCACCTATAAAAACAAGAACACAATCTAGCAAACACACAAGACGTACCCAACTTTCAAGACGCAATAAACCTGTGCTTCTTTGACTTCAAGAAATTATAGATCATCGGTACAGATTTTGGGATGGATTTTTTGCTTTTTAGAGCCGTTTAGACTAAATCCCCAGCTGATTTTTAGCATATTATTTGTTGGATTGTACCTCTCCAACTCGATTTTTTTTTTTGTTTTTCTGTAAGCTGATGATTTTCCTGCGTCTGATAGTGAGAGAACTTTAACTACTCAATTTCTCCCACGACATTTTTTAAGTACTCAAAAGAAAGATTTTAGGCATGCGCGTTTGTCAATGAAGACTTTCAAGGTAGAGTAAATGTCTGTGCTGAAATTAATCGCACGTTGGTGAATTTTAATGATTTTCAGGTCAGCCGGCAGCTTACTGTCCGTCGGACTGTGGTGTATCGCAAATCTATGCTCCGCCAGTAGCCAGTGATTATTAATTTCCAGCCGTCAGCATTGCATTGTGACCTCAGCCACACTTCATTCCACTTCTTGAGTTTCGTATATTGCGTGTACATCATTTGTGTTGCAAAAAGAAGATAGTGTTAACAGCAAGGAAAAGAAGATGGAGACTAAACTCCCTTCGCCTTGCCCAGCTGCCCTTCGATTCCAATGTGATATGCAAATGCCTGTCTCATGACTCGAGTTCGCCCTCCGTGATATATAATGATGTGATTAGAAATGAAATTTGTTATTGTATTTGAGAGCCAGGTTATTGTAAACCATTAAGAACCAAGTATATTATTTGTACTTCTATCTACTCTACTCTGTTTACAGTTCCTGGGATTCTGTCAGTAAG